AAAATTCATTCTCTCTCTCTCTCTCAAAAAATATTAAAATTAAAAAATTTAAAAAAATTTAAAAAGAATAAAACATTAAAAGCTAAATATCTACATGATCCTTCTTTTCTTATACATTAGAATCTCTTGGAGCAAGAGTTAAAGAAAACTAAAACGTATTCCAGGAATTCAGTGCTTTTGTATTCAGTCAGTTCATCCTGTTTCCTGACTTCCCCAGTATTTTTCACAACTTTTGGCCTCTCAGTCTAGTGTGTTCAGCCTGCAAGTACTAATTACCTTCTAACTACTTCTGCCATTCACTACTTCCCTCAGCCTGTTCTCTCCTGAGGTCTGAGACTCTTCATTGTTCCCTTATCTTTTGGGTAAACTTGAAAGGAGTTTGCTTAATGAACTGCAGTTGTCTCCAGAATCTGCACATCACACCCTCCTTCTGTGTGACTGTTTTCATTTCCTTTAATACTTCAGGAAATGGTTTCTTCTGATATTTTGAACAATTCAAACAGCAATAAGAAAAAAGATTATAGACAACTTATTTGCTAATTCTCTAAATATGAGATACACTTGTGCCAGTCCCCGAGACATAACTAACGATATCATGGTCAGTTGTGAATTTGATTAAAACTTTATTCAATAATTATCATATCAACACTTGAGTACTTATTATGTGCGGCACACATTATACTAAAGACTTCATTTGTTCTTTCTCTTGATCCTCCTAACAATCAAATGAGATAGGTACTGTGATTCCTATGTTGTTGGTGGGGGGATAGATTGAATAATTGGTCCAAAGTCACACAGCTTCCAAGTGACAATTACAATTTGAACATGGGACTAGTTTGGCTCCAAAGTCTGGGTTCTTACCCACTGTGTTTGGTTATCTCATGGCTAAGTTTCGGTGCCAAATATGGCCTAAAGTAGCAAACTTGTCTTTAAAATAATGCAAAATATCTCAGCATGGATAAACTAGTTCATTGAGTATTCTTTAGTGAAATATTTCACCATAATTCTTGATACAAAGCCCAGTGGGATTTTTTTGTACCATTATTTGATATAAAACTTCAAATTAAAAAGGAAAACTTTTGTTTTAATAGCATCTGTATACCTTTGAGAAAGACTTGCAAGTTGTCAGTTGCTCTGTCAACAGGGAGAAAACTTTACTTGGTAAGTCAATCTTTCTTTTTGCTACATATCAGGAACTAACTACATCTTTTAAAAATTTTTAAGTATTGGATTTTAGGATATTTGATTATTCTACAACAATAGGTCTGGGAAAGAAATGTTCTTGGGAAATTATTTTGGAAATTAAGAATCTGCAGAGTAGACCTACAAAAAAGAATCCTTTGCATTCTACCTTAATGTTCCATAACAAAGCCTTTAAACACTTGTTTACTTCAGGTATAAAATGGTAAACTTTAATAAGATACTACATGTATCAATTGCTAATGGATTTTTTTTTCCTTTTTCCATTAGCTGCAAGTTTAGTTCAATCTACTGAAGAAGGTAGAAGGAATGAGCTACAACCAGGTAATGAAACTATGCTTTTCTTGATATATGGTAGATGATTTATTGAACTAAGTCAAATGCCAAGCATCTTTAGAAAAAGCTTTGTCTTGCCAAGCATCTTTAGAAAAAGCTTTGTCTTAGAATAAAAAGGCAGTGATGATTTAAGTGTGATCAAGATTTTAAGACTTATTTAATTTTTCAAGTAAGTATGAAGGTCCAAAAAATAATCAAACAGTAAATAGCAAAAGTATTAAGGTGATAAATATCACCTGAAGACTGAGGCTGATATGACACTAGAATCCTATGGCCAGAAGCTGTCAGAAAAAAAAAAAAAAAGTTTGGGGAAGTCCCAAATACCATTTTAAAAATTCCTGATTGGGTAATGACTGTTACCTAGCACATTGTGAAAAGCCTACCAATACACAATAAAAAAAAACAAACTCATTTGCCAAGGCCCACTTAGTACTTTATTAGTCATGTAACCCTCACCTTTTTAATCTAACATTTTGTGTCATCCATCTGTCCATAACTCAACAGTATTGAGTAATTTCTGTGGGTGAGACACTAGGCATCGTGCTGGGGATACAATGCAAATTTCTATGGTAAGTAAATAAGAAAAATAGTGTCTTGTTTCCATTTTAACATAGAAACTGGAAAATATTTCTTCTCTTTTATAGGGGGTGGGAGGGAGTTCAAGAGCTATAGAGATGTGGTGTGGTGTGGATCCCCTATGGGAGACTTTACAGGGGAAGCCACTACTCAGCTTTAACTTTTCATTGTCATGTGGGGCTGTAAGTCCAGCAGGGTCAGCTTTTCAATTTAAGAGAAGTCTGGACCTTTATGTAATATATATATGTATGTAAAAGTTGGTTCAAGTTTTTAAAAAAATCCTGCCCAGGCAATAACCACCACCTGTGGGCAGGAGCAAGCGTGTGGACTACCACCATTCAACCTTTGGTTTAGTGGATCACGTATCAGTCCCATACTGCTCTGATCCCAGGTGCTTTCCATCTGGTCTATTTATTTGGCATTTAAATTTCTTCTTTGTTAGCTTAGTTCCCACTCAGCATCTGATGGAAAAACCCTTTATACCTGTTTTTCCATAGGAGGTCTATGAAGAATCCTGGGCTTCTCATGACACATGTTCCCCGCCCAGAGGCAGCTTTGAGAGGCAAGGAGACCAGAGTTCAGTCTGGACGGGTCCTACTTGGAGTGCTCAGCATAATAGCTTATGGCAGGTGTTGGTGGGCAGGAGCTTTCCCTGACATCTCGTTGTATTCATTGCTCTTGCCTCCCCTTGCCTTGATACATTGAGAACCTGCTTCTGTACCTCCTTTTGATACTTCCACAGAACTCTCTGCTCCTCTTAAAGTTAGGTGCAAAGCTCACTTTGGAGAAGATGGAACTGAACTAACTTAAGCAAAATGTGATCTAGAACATTGGTATCCTGACCCCTAAAACAAGGGTATGGAAAAAAAAACAGGATCTGGCCTCGATCTCCTGGGCTAATAAACCCCTTTGTCTGAGAAAGGAAAGGCCTCACTGCTTGGGTTTCTTGAGATGGTGAGACTGGGCATCTATACACAACCTTGGATTTGCTTCCTGTGTCTCCCAGATCTTGTTGTGCCTCATTCCTTTTAGCCTTCTACATACTTTATTCTGTTAAACCCAGCTGCAACTGTATTTTTTACTTGACATTCATCTATGCACAATTGTTGTACAGAACAATAATCTTTAGTGACTATCTATGCTATAAAATGTACTTTCAGATCAAATTTAAAATTTTATTTTATAAAATAGTAAATTATATGCAGATATGCTTGCTCAGTCTTTTAAGCTTGCACCTATAGTGAGATTATCTGCTTGTATCTTTAAAAACATTAGAATGAATATTGTTAGTTACTGCATTGGGTACCTCATAGCTTTAATTAGCTTACCTTTATGCTGGCCACTGGGGTGAGAACCAGCTCTGTCCAGGTGTAATTTGACAGTGCCTTACCTTAGTTGCTCTGCCTACTTCTTACTTTCTGCCTGGGGCCTTTGGAAAAATCTCTTTATTCCCTATACTTGTACAGCCAGGAAGTATGATTGGAAGTGATGCACAGTAGGGCAACTCAGGATCAATGAACTAAATGGGGCTAATTGTTCCCTGTTTCCATCCCTAGAATGAGTAATTCTGAGGTGCCCTGCAAGCACACTCAGTTCGACATGCCTCACAGACATCATGGTAGAGAAGTGAGGCAGGAATTTGAACAAGTCAGAAGCTCAGCTGAGAGTTTGGGGGTGGAGATATAAGTCATCAGTGTTCATCATAGGAAGGTTTCATTTTGTTAAGATTTCAGAAATGATGTAACCAAAAAGCATTTTAGAGTCTGTTATAATGTTTTGTCCTTTGGATGGATATTTTGGAAAGACTTAACCTTTCCATAAATGATCTTGTAAGCCATTTGATTAAAAACACACACACACACACACACACACACACACACACACACA